GGAGATAACACAAAGACTTAGAGTGTTTACTGAAGAAGATATAAGACTACAACCTTCAATATGAATTACATCTCAACATCAAGAAAACAAAATTCTTTGCCACTGGACCAAAAGACAATATCATAATAGATGGAGATAAGATCTACATTGTCAATAATTTAATTTTAGTTGAATCTACAATAAACATTCATGCCAGAAAGAGGTAAGAAGTAAAAAGAGGTGTTGAGTTAGAAAACCCTGTGAAAGCTCTCTCTAAAGTACTAAGGAACAAGGCTATTAGTTTCAAGACTAAAGTGTACCTGATCTAAGCCTGTCATTTTCAATTGTTTTCTATGCTTCTGAAAATTGGATAATGCATGAGGAAGAACAAAGAAGAATTGATACCTTTGAATTGTGGAGTGGGAAAACAGTATCAAGTATGCTATTGGCTGGCAAAAGAATTAGCAAATCTATCTTGAAACCAACTGAAACTGAGGGTTGCTCCTCAGGGCAAGGACAGGGAAACTTCATCTCACATACAGGAGGCATTAGTCCTTGGAAAAAGACTTCATGCTGGTAATGGTAGAGAGTCAGTGAAAGATATGAATACCTTCAACAAGATGGATTGACACAATAATCTTAATGATGGCCTTGAACATAGCATAGACAGTAAAGATGGTGCAGGATATAACAGGATTCAGGATCCTATCATTCAAAAGTTTGCTGTGAGTCAGTATGGAGGACAAAATATGTATAATACTATGAAAACTAATTGGATGTCCACGATATACCTATAAAATTTAGCACAAGTGTGCTCATCCAATGTTCTGATTGAAAAATTATTCTTCAGAAATGCATCTCTAGAAACATCTTTCTAATTGGAGAAAGGGGGTGAAAACAAGGAAATACCATTTTTTTCTTATTAATATGTATTTTTAAATTCTTAACAAAATATTATGAAAACAGAGACATCTGAAAATATTCACATTGTTATGTACCATCGAGTCACTTGTGACTCATCACGACCCTCTCTCTGTACAACAGCTCTAAACCATTCTCTATCCTGAGCCGACCTCATTGTGTTGGACACAGCCACTCAAATTACTCCAGTCACTGAGTCAATCCATCTCATCCAGGATCTTCCTCTCTTGTGTTGTCCCTCTGCCACCCCAAGCATGATGTATGAAAATTTTCATAGTCCACCATAAAATGTGACTTATCCCAAGAACAGAATTGAGAATCCAGAAAGCAACCCGTACAACTATGGCTAATTGATTTTCAACAAGGGTCCATACAATGGAGAAAGAGTATTTTCTTTAAAAAATGTGCAGGGACAATTGGATTTCTACATGTTGTACCACATCATAAATGTAAGATAAAATGAATCAATGATATTAATATATGACCTTAATTTATAAGTCTACATACAAGAATTCAAACTAGAAGAAACAGGAGTAATGTTTCAGAATCTAGATTTTGATGATAGATTCTTAGATAAGATACCAAAATAAGGACACATAGATCATATGGGCTTCATTAAAATTAAAAATATGTATTCATAAATGGACATTATCAATAAAGTGAAGAGATGACCTACAAATCAGGAGAAAAAAAATTGGGAACCATATGTCAGATGATGATAGGTGCTGACAAATTGAGGGAGGGAGTGGGTTTTTGTTGGTTTTTTGTTTGTTTTTCACTCATAGCAGCACATACTACAGAGGAAAAACTGCCCTATAGAGTTTCCTCAGTCCTAATCTTTACAGAACATTAGTTCTTCTTGCTATGGAGCAGATGGGTTGTTCAATCCTTGACCATTATAACACCAGACCTCATTATATATCAATAAAAGTTCAATATGTACAGAAAATAAACCTTACAACAACAACAACAACAACAAAATAATAATAAATAAGCACCAGAAGAGATACTTCACCAAAGATACACACATAACCAACAATACTTCTTGATGTTCAAGAAAATTAGTCTTGAAAAAAATGCAAATAAAAGCTATAATGAGAAACCATGTGGATGCTACTAGGATATATAAGAAGCTCTAGTGCCAAGAAGTTGAGCTGCCCACTCTAAGGCACAGCGTTCAAATCCACCAGCTGTTCTATGCAAGAAGGATGGGCAATCTCCTCTCATGCTATGTACAGGCTTTAAAAATCCACGAGAGCATCAGCTATGAGTCAATTTCAACTCAAAGGTGTATAACAAAAACATAATGGAAATAATAATATTATAAATAATGTTGAATTTCCCAGACTCTTCTATGTATTTTCTTCAGTTCTTAAAACAACTGTATTAAGTAAACACAACAGGAGATCCATAGAATTCCCAGGAGGTACACATTTTTAAGGTGCTGAATTTCTAGCTGAAAGACTGACGATATGAGTCTCTCAGTGGTGCCTCACAACAAAAACCTGGTGATCTTCTGAAAAATCAGCCAGTGAAAACCAAACAGACTCTAGTTATGTTCTGATACACATGAAGCGTGATAATCTGAAACACTGAGGGGGTGGAGGGACAGGTAGAGGTAAAAGGAATTGGCAGGGATGTGGACAAAATGGATTGTCATTTTCTAGTGGTAGAATCATAAAATCACATACACTTGCTATTGATAATTTTGAGAAATCCCCAACATTAAATATATTATTGCTATCCACTGCAGTCAAGTTAATTCAGCTTAGAGTTACTCCTTAAGCTCCCTGAGGTTGTAATTCTTTATAGGAGGAGATGGCTCATCTTTCAACACGTAAGACATTATACCACCAAAGCTGCTAAGATCCAGCAAACCCACTCCTGAGAATATATCCAAAAGAATTGAAAACAGGAGCACAGAAGATATTTGTACACCAGTGTTCATTGCAATACTTTCACATTGTCCAAAAGGTGAAAATAACCTGAATGTCTAGCTACAGATGAAAAGATAAACACAGGATAGTCCCTATAATAATTAACACTTCCCCTCCCCAACACACACACACTCAAATTCTGAGATATGAAACAGTATGGATGAAATCTGAAAACATTGAACTCCATTAAATAAGTCAGAAACAAAGGAATAATTATCATCTTTACTTGTATGAAATACTTCGATAAAACAAAAATATATAGACCGAAGTTTATTAGTGGTTACCAAGGGTGAGAGAGAAAACTAAGAGGTCCAGCCATGAAAACCCCTTGAAGCAGTTCTTCTCTGCATACTTGGGGACCCTGACTAGATGAACTAATAACAACTGAGAGGCTTAAGGTGAAGAGGAAAGGGAAAACACTGCATAGAGGACATGAAGTTTCTATTAAGACCGATGCAAAATATAGGAACTGATGATATTAATGAGCATGGTACAGTATGGTAAAGGTCATTCATGTCACTCTAGTGTATATATAACAAAGGCTATAATGATTATTATTTTGTTTTATACATTTTTACCACAGTAAAACTGTGATACTCATGTGTCAATGCGTTATGGCTATCCATGGTGGACAGTGTTTGGTGGCTCTCCACGGGTTAAACGAGCTTGGAAGCAGGAGTGGCATCCACTTCCATAAATAAACCCTATGAACCTGGAGAGAGGATGAAAGTCGCACGCACATGCAAGTGTCGAGCACTTGCGTTCATAGGGTTGCTATGAGTCGCCTATGACTCGATGGCATTTAACAACAACACAATCACAGTAAAAGAAATTAATGATAGTTTAAAAAAGACTAAAAATTCACAAAGTCCTACTCTCTTCCAGCATGTTCACATTGCAGAGATACTTAAAATCCATCTATATTCAAATTTATTTTAACTATCACTCCTGAAATTGGGTTTATACAATGAATGTACACATTAAGTCTTATATGTTGTTGTTATGTGCCGTTGAGTCATTTTGTGACTCATAGCGACCCTTTGTACAACAGCCCTAAACCCTGCTCTATCCTGTGCCAATCGCATCACCTCTGACACACCCAATCCCGATTACCCCAGTCACTGTACATAGGGTTTTCAGAGGCTTGCTACTTCAGAAGTGGATGGCCAATCCTTCTTCCTAGTCTGTCTTAGTCTGCATGTTTATATTTAGAGGAGTATCTGACAGACAAGCAATGTGTGGAGTAGTGAAAGATAAATCCCTCATTGTGGAGTGTTCCTGCCCATAGCCCAGTGACTCGACCCGCTTATTTCCCGCTCCACCCTCCACCAGGATACCCATTCACTTCTATTGAATCCCTTCAGAATTTATCTTCCATTGTCCGACCCATGATCTGACAGCTTGTATCTGAAGCTTTCTTGGCTTCTGTGATTCCAAACACGTCAACTGCTGAAATTGTTTTATGCTGTGGCCAGTGTCTCTTAAATTTAGTTGTACTGTCTCAGAAAGGTAGGTGATGTGTCCTGTAGAACTCCTGTATAGATTGTATTTTTCTTCTTGGCCCGAGGGCCCTACTGATTTTGGCTCCGCCTTGGGCCTTTGTACCTATAGACATGTGAGAAGCCGGGATTGGCTTCTCTATCGCCTGGCCTGGACTTCTGCCTGTGCAGCTTCCAGACTCCCCGGTGGTGGTGGTGGTGGCGTGTCCTGCAGTCTCCCCTCTGTGCCTCCCAACCGGTTTTGGCTCTGCCTGATCCAGATTACCTCAAATTCTCTAAAACTGAATCAGAATTAATATTTACAATTCTCACTAGGTTAACAAAAGACAATTTTGTCATGTTAGTAATGAAGACAAAGCTTTCAATCTTTTTAGAAGGCTAAAATTAGCACTTGTTTAAGCTTCTTGAAGTTATTTAAAAACTATCTTTAAATTTGCTCAAGTCATTTTCTCATGGGATAATTTTCTATGTCAAGTATTAACTTGGAAGTAAAAAGCTATCTCTGAGATGAAACAGACAGGTTCCTTGCTACTTTAAGTATCAAGGAAAAATCAAGTGTCCCTAATATGATAATAAATAAATTTTGGGGAATAAATATATTGCTTACCGATAACTGAGCATTTATATTCTCAGCTGAATATTTACTATATTCTTGTTCCTAAAGGTATGAAATAATGAATTTCAAGGAAATGGGAAAGGATTATTTTGATTACATCAATGTTGGAAGCTGGGACAATGGAGAATTAAAAATGGATGATGATGAAGTGTGGTCCAAGAAAAGTACCATCATCAGATCTGTGTGCAGTGAGCCATGTGAAAAAGGCCAGATAAAGGTAACAGGAAAAAGGCCAAAGTCTGGTTTCCTTAATTTTGTTTGAAAGTCAAATGTTGGATTGTATGTTCTTAAGTTCTTGGATAACTTGCTTTACATTTTGTATTGTGAGATTCTAAAGTCAAAAGTTGTGCTTTCATTTGTTCGGTTCTCATTCCTCTTGCTGTCTCAAGTCCAATCACAATAACCTTAGTCCTTAGACCAGCTGAAGAAACTGATGAATAACATTTGTGTGTAGCTTTTCAGAACTTAAGCCTTTAAAAGGTATTTGTTCCTGAAAATGGCTAGTTCATGTTTGCAAGATACTATAATCATCCATACTATAATCATTTAGCATATATTTGTCAAAATCCAACTAAATGTGTAAATTATTATCAATGGGACAAAATGAAAATAAAAGCTGGATGCTCTTGACTGTCAGAAATTTTATAGTTCAAATGAGGAAAAATGTCATGGTCTGGATAAACAGTATTATATAAAATGTGTTGCCTTGATTAAAAGAAGGGGGGGGACTAAGACAGATACTCTGACAAAAGGGAGGTTGCCTTCCAAATTAAATGTGAGAAACTGTATCATAAATACTGGGTAGAATTTCAGAATTCAATGTGGGGGAAAGGTCATGTTTCTTAAAAGGAATGATGTGAAGAACCGAAGCAGTCCATCAGGTACTTTTGGAATAACTAACAAATCTAAAGTGCATAGCTCCAAAGGGTTACTGTACCAAAAAGAAGGTTAAAATGATAGGTGAAAGCCAGATTTGCAAGGTGTTTTGAATGTTACACTAAATAGGTAAGGATTTAACTTTTATTGTGATTTGAGTTAAACTTTATAAAGTGAATAAATTTTATATTCAACTGCACATACATATTTATTATATGACATTAATTATAATCCTCATATTATAACAGAGATCTCTAGTGGCCTAGCAATAAGAAAATGTGCTGTAAATCTGAAGGCATGCAGTTTGAATCCACCAATTGTTTTGCAGGAAAAAAAGAAAAAGTCACCTCCCAGGTGATTTCTGCCTCTGAAAACTGAAGGAGGGTCAGCTGTGGGTTAATTTGCACTCTACAGTATTATACACTAATATACAACAACAACATTGTAACCACTCTTCATTTTGACCTTTACCTTGACCCTTCCATTCTTAACCTTCATCCCTCTGCAAATGCTGATGTTGTTGGTGTTGTTATGTGCCATCCAGTCACTTGGAACTCATAGTGACCCTATGTACAAGAGCCCTAAATGCCGTTCTATCCTATGCCAAACTAACCGTCTCAAACACACTCAATCCCACCACTCCACTCACAGAATCAATCCATCTCATCGAGGTTCTTCCTCTCATGTGCCGTCTCTCCACTCTCCTGAGCATGGTGTCCCTCTCCAAGGACCAGTTCCTCCTTGCAATGTGCCCAAATTATGTCAGACGAGGCTTCAGAATCCTTGACTCAAAGGAGCACGGCTTCATCCTCTCCAGGACAAACCTGTTTGTACTCCTAGCAGTCCATGGTAT